ATTCTGAATGTTAATCCTTGTTCAGTTTTGTGCAAGTATTTTCCCTCAGTCTGGTTTGTCTGTACCTTGCCTGGGGTACATTTTGGAACACAGATGTTTTGAATTTAAAATAGTTAAATTTCATCAGCTTTTTACTTTTGGTGTGTCTGGATCTTGTCTAAGAAATATGTCCCTACCTCAAGAGCATAAAAAGATATCCTTCAAAATTTTCATCTGTTAGTTCCCAAAAGTATCTGGAGTTAACTTCTGTGTTTGATATGGGGTAGGGATCCATTTCCTTCAATTTGGAAAACCCACTGCTTTCATAGTTCCATTTACTAACTAGTTCAGCTCTTCGTTACAGACTCTTTAGGGCCACTTCTTTTGTCTATGAGGTGTTAGCTTCTACCATGTTCTGTTGATTTATCTGGATGAAAACCACACTGTATTAATTACTATAGTTTTTTAAAAGGTCTTGACATTCAGCAAAGCAAGTCCCTCCATGTCATTCTTCAATATTATTTTGACCATTTGGGGCACAGCTTTCATCTCTGTTGAACAGGACAGTAGGGAGAAATCAAGACAAGCCACTCCTGGATAATATACAGCTGAATATTTAACTCCCAAACAAATCAGCTTCTAAGAAATTGTTGTGTATAATGAATATAGAAAGCCCATATAAAGCATTTGTTTACAAAAAAGCAAAAACATTTTAAAAGCTTTTTTGAGCTGTAGCAAGGGTCATTTAAAATTAGAAACCCTTCCTCTGGGCAATAGCAATGTTCTTGCCTAGATTTTCTAAAAATACAAATTTAAACATAGTTTTGCATACAGATAGTCACAGTAGGGCCTCCCTGGTAGCTCAGCTGGTAAAGAATCCACCTGCAACACAGGAGACCCTCGTTCGATTCCTGGGTCAGGAAGATCCCCTGGAGAAGGGGTAGGCTACCGACTCCAGCATTTTTGGGCTTCCCTGGTGGCTCAGACGGTAAAGAATCCACCTGCAATGCAGGAGACCTGGGTTCGATCCCTGGGTAGTGAAGATCCCCTGGAGAAGGGCATGGCAACCCATTCCAGTACCCTTGCCTGGAAAATCCCCATGGACAGAGAAGCCTGGAGGGCTACAGTCCATGGGGTCGCAGAGTCGGACATGACTTTGGGACTACGCACAGCACAGAACAGTCACAGTGAGTTCAATGAAACTGCTAAAGCTGTGCACACGTTGCCTAGATCCCTCAGAGAATCCCCCCCGCGCCCCCCAATTTTGTTATTGGAGTGTAGTTACTTTACAATGTTGTGTTAGTTTCTGCTATACAACAAAGTGAACCAATTACACAGAATATCTACTCTGAAGGTTAGACTGTTCCTGGGAGAAACCTTGAGAATGCACTAATTCCTTCATAGCAGGGGTGTGTGAATGAGCTATTCTTTCTCTCATTCAAGGGAGAGTTGATTTTCCCCCAAAATGCTCTGTGACATTTTCATAACCTCAGGATTACTACTTGGTGTTCTGCAGTGTCTTCAGATCCAGACCCTCTTATACGGACTCCAGGACAAGAGGACTCTGGCCACCCAGCAGACCATGGACATCCTGTCCAAGTGAGTCGACCTCTCCCGACACTGTTTACTTTGCCGTCAGAATCTCAGAGGAAGCTGGTTCTGTAAGGTTCAGTGGAACTTTCCGTGGAAAGGACAGTCTACTGACTGTCTTCCATTACTCATTAACTATGCAAGCCCGGTTCCTTTGAACACTCAATTGTAAAATCCGATATCAGGAAGAAATCAGCTCTTGGAGAAAGTCAGAAGCACAGGCTAGGGTTCATCCTCCTGCAGACCGGCTGCCTGCTGGTCATGTCAACTGCTGGAGGACTAGGGCACACGGTCCTACGCGGCCTGCAGGCGCTCTGATCTCACCCGGGCGCCGGCCTTCCAGCCTGGACGGCGCAGAGCCTGGTCCGCAGGCTCCAGGACGCGCCGCGGGCGGGGTCGGCCGGCAGGGGGCGCCGTCCCAGGCCCCGCCTGCAGGGCCGGGCCCCTTGAGTCGCTGAGGGTCCACTGTCCGCTTGGTGAGCACGGCCGCGGGAATCAGAAACGGGAGGAGAAACGCTGGGCTTTCTGCTCCTGCGGAGCCCCCTCTCCTTTGCCTGCCCTCCTGAGGCTCCCTCGTGAAGCGCAGCTCAGCAAGCGCCAGGCTGGTCTTCACTGCCGCCGAGTCCGGCGCCAGGCCAGGCGCGCGGAGGCCGGGGCCGCCGCACTGACTCCTCTGCTTGTCCGCAGGGCCCCCGAGGTGCCCGCGAGGCCGCGGCCGTCCCCCGGAGCCAAGGCGGCCTTCTGCGCCGGCGGGCGGCCGCACAGCGTGCCCGGGCGCGCCAGGCCCAGTGCTAACGACTGAGCGGGGCCCACCGCCTCCCGGGGTGCGCCCCCGGGTGCCCTGCACATCTTTCCCTCCGGAACGGGGGGCCTTCGACAGCCGCTGCTCCGGTTTCCAGGCCGACTGTGCGCTCCGAATGCAAAGCCACCCCACACCTCCCGTGGGCCCTGTGTGGACAGTGGGCGCCCCTCCTGGTGACCTGCCCTTCTATAAAGTATTTTTCTTTCTGCTACCTTAGTGGTTTCTTTTGGCCGACCAGAGTTCTTACCCATCAGCACTGCTGCGGTTGCAGGCTTCGCTCCTTCACCATCTGATCGTGTATGTGTATTTGGTGTAGGGCCCCTTGTGCAGGCTCCGGAGTCAGATTTGGAGCAGGAAGATTGTGAGCAAAGAGCTCTTTCTTATAGGAAGGTAATAGGGATTGAAAAGAAAATACTAATAAAAGGAAACCTGGCAGTGTTGACATCAGTATACGTTTGTGAAATGAAGCCGCCCCAGAGCTCCTGGGAGCATAGAAAGGGCCCTGAGGAAGCATCTCCTCCCTGGTGCACGCCACCACTCACTGAATTTGGCAGGGCACCAGGCGGGTGCTAAGAACCGAGGGCACGATAAACAGGACACTGTCCCCGTCCTCTCAGAGCGTGCCACCCAACAGGGCCACGAGTCACTGACACACATCACGGTGCAGCTGGTTGAGGGACAGCAGAGGGAAAGAGCCTGGCACAGTGGGTGGGTGATAAATGGCCCTGAATGTGCTTACAGGTCGGGGGAGGTGGTGTAAAAGAGCCGGGCAGGACAAAGGCAGGCACAGAGGACTGCCGATGCCCAGCTGCTGCTTCCTGCGGCCTCCACTCCAGCCAGGGGGACATGGCTGTGGCTCTGGAGCGCTGCTTTGAGTTGGCACGGCCCTTGGCCCCTTCTCTCCTGACCCTGTTCTGGGTTTAGCATGCAGGGGTGTGGAGGGTGGGGCTCGATGAGCGCTCAGGTCCACGGTTGTCTTCAGTCCCCTGGCAGGAGTCTGGCGTCAGTTGAGAACAGGAGTGGCTCGTTTTGAGCACTTTTCTCCAGGTGAGATCCAGAGCCAGGACCAGGTTGAGCATGCAGAGGGTGGCAGTGGGCTTTTATCCTTTCTCACAGGCCCTTCGCAGCCCCTCTCTCATCCCTTGGGCTGTGGCCCAGCAGGGCTGCAGGCAGGCACTGAGATGGCAACAGGTTGCAACACGGCCCCCTCTCACTTTAACACCCAGGAGGAAACGCAAAACCAGGCTGGCTCCATGTGTGCTGGGCACCACACTGAGAATGGGTACAGGAAATGAACCCAAGTTCTGGGACAGCGTGGAGGGAGGTGGGGCCCCCGTCCTTGACAGCACAGGCCACCCTGCTTGTACTCACCCATCCCAGGTAGGCTTGTGGGATGAAGGCCACATCCAAAGGTGGGAGATGTGGTCACGAGTGTCCTATTTGGTGAAGACATGGACTTTGATGCATATGATGGGAAAGCATTTTAAATACATACCACACTGGAGTCAGCCTCAAAAATGTTTGTGCAACTCAAAAATTCCTTTGTTGAGGCCCTCAACACCACTGTGAAAGTTTTTAAAGTAGGGTCTCTGGGAAGTAATACATGAAGGTCAAGCCCCCAGAATGGGATTAGTGCCCTTATAAAGAGAGACAAGACAAATGATCTTTACCCTGTGAGGTCACAGCAAGAAGGCAGCCGTGTGCAAACTAGAAGACGACACCCACCAGGAACAGACTCCACCAGCACTGTGACCTGGGGTTCCCACTCACCGGAACTGCGAGGAGTAAGTGTCTACTGTTTAAGTCTCCCAGCCTGTGGTGTTCTGTCCTGTTATGGTATTCTATTACGCAGCCTGAGCAGACTGAAAGCCTATGCTGGGTTTTTGAAAAAACAAAATGCCAATTCTGATGTTATTTATTCCTCTATTTCTCATAGGATAATATCTTGGAATCACAAGAACTAAAACACTTTTTAAATTTAGCCCCCCACTCTGGGGAAAAAATGAATTTGGGGATATTCTCTATCAAATGTCTCCCATCTATTAAATGTGTTAACTTCAGAACAAAAGGAAGACTCTAGCTATGTATGTTTTGGTTTGTTTTTGTAAAAGGCTAACAAATAGGTAAGCATATCTACTCCTTTGTCTCAAACTAGAGCAATTTTTTCAAGCTCCTAAGAAATGGCCATGATTAACCACTCCAATTTGCACTTAAGGTTAATAATGAACCACCTTGGTGTGCTCAGCATTGTTTTCATTTTAGCACTGAAAGTTCCATGTCCCAGGAGAGACCCCTCATTCAAGGCCAAATGGGATGGTTGGTCACACTGTTGTCACTAGCATTGCAGGCTGTCATGATGACATTCTTACCACAAACGGTCTAGTCTGTATTTTAATATGAACCAGTGGTTTACGCTCTATCTGCCACGCCTTCTCGCTCTGTGCTAACAATATCGAGTTCTGATTCAAGTGAGTAATTAAATGAGCCTTTTCATATATATATTCTCCCCAGTGATTCTGTGCCACCATAAAAACATGCACATAAACACATATATCCTTTAATTAGAACTTAAATAAAAACCGCAAAACACCTACTGGAAAACATTCATTCTCTTCAGGAACAACATGGGGGTTTTTTCTTAGACTTTTATTTTTACACATTCTTATGATATATCCCTTCAAAGGGAATAGGAGGTTAGCAAGATCAGCTTTTTAGATGATTCCATTCTAAATATACATTTTAAACAAACAATATCAAAACAACCAGTGGGGAGGTGAAAAACATTCCATTAACACCATTTTGTCTACACAACAATAAATGCAAAAGGACTGGCTGTGTCCTCACCCTGTCTCACCATAAAGCTGACTACTACTGTCTCTGGTTTTAAAGGACATGGAACCAGGGGTGACCTGTCACGGGGTCAAGGGCACGCCCTGCTCTGGTCTGTTTCAGAGACTTAGTAACCAACCACAGCTCATGACTACATATTGGCAAACACTCTTGGCAGGATACTTCTTGAAGATGTGCACCAACATGGAGACACAAATTAAGACCTAAGACACTTATTTTCCAATAGAGGTGAGTCAGGACATTAATAATCTATTCACCTTAGCACTCATTCCCGGGGTCACAAGCTAGGAGAGTGACATTGAGCTCAGCCCACACTTAAGACACACATAATAGACACCCCCCCTCATCAGTCTGTCTTGCCATCAGACAACAGACTGTCACCTTGACCAATTCTCACCAATAAATAACCTATACAAATACCATTACCAATTACAATCAACATAAAATCAACTCATCTTTACGTTAGAAATGAGGAGTCTTTGGTGGAAAAGCCGTCACCTCCCCTGGCAGTTTCTGACAATCACCAGTTCATCTGGCAGACAACAAAAGTTTACACTTGCAATTCAAATCAACCTTCCTTCTATGCCCTGCTTCATGGTGTTTTAAAAATAGATCATCCTGAAAGCTGTACTGCGATGTTCCTCCACTTCCCGATTAGGAAAACACACTCTCTCTAAACTACCTGCTGTAGCCATTCCTGGCAGCTGAGATGTGTGTTGTGGAGGTGTGAGGGCCATCTTGTGAACCCAGAGGGAAGACCCTCAACTTCCATAGCTGCCCCCGTAACCACGTCCCACCTGAGGATGACAAAGCGGGGACCATCATTCCTCAGTGCGCTACAGGCAGTTAGGTCTGTGCTACTGTGTTAGGGGGAGGTACAGTTTAGACAACATTAAGTGAAAGAAACTAGTTTGGATTAAAATAATATTGTGCTGCTAGAGATACTCTTTATGTGATGCTACAGCTTTAAAGGAATAAGCTTTAAAAACAATACCTTTGTGCAAAACACACCCAACAGAGCACACCCATTCTAGTATCTTCAATTCAGTGGTGTATATCTGCAGGGCTATACTCGTGGCCTGGGAGAGTAGGGCCTTTGCTTCCTCCAGGGCCCCTCCTGGGTGCTTCCGGGCTAGGCAGCAACAGAAGCATCCAGCTCCTTCCCCAAAACATCTAATTCTGTTTAATGTATTGTTTCCCTGGATAAAACACCCCAACTGTCATGATTTCTGTCTAAAGTGCAAAAGCCTCCATGAGGTTGGTTGCCGTCTTCCATCTCGAACCCTTTGTGCTCAGAAAGGCCTCCACCTCCCATCATCAGTGGGTTAGGAGGGGCTTCTCTGGGAGGCACAACCCACCTGGGCTTCCAACCGTACTGTGCATGACCGCCCCACAAGTCTGAGCTTCAGCGTCCTTTCTACTGTCTTTAGGGTCTACCTCCCACCAGTAAAATTAAATGTTTAGATCCTAAGAGCTAAGGTGCAGAAAAGCTCAAGTACACTCTGGTAGGAGCTGGCTACTCCAGAATTTGTTAAAACCAAAAAGAGTATTTAGACTGTGCACTACTTAATGACCTAGTACCACGAAAAGCTGGTATTATAAGCCATTCCCAGTAATCCTTCCCCAACCCCCTGCCCCCACCTGGACCCAGTGCAGGGTTCCAGGAGCCTGTGCAAATGTAGCAAGTGTGCTGATCTGATACACTGCAGGAGGCTGGAGCTGTCTTCTCCATAAATAAAATACTATATTTTTTAAAAGTTCTGCACATAGAAGGCAATTCATTCAAGTCTTAAAATGAATTTAACTCTCTAAGATGAATAACTTTTTCCTAAGAAGAAATCATTTAATTTTTTTAATCTGCTTATTTCTTATGATTTCTTTTTGAAAAGACCTTGTAAATAGACAAATGAATTCATTCTTCCCTTAAAATGTTAGTTTACTATTTCATGTTAGCACATGTGAATAAAATTTACTCTTAAATGTATTACTTTAATCCCATTACCATTTAGGTGTCTTACCTAGGCAATTATACTTTCAAACAGATGCCAGGCACTTCTGTGACTATGTGCAAAAATGGGAGAAATCATCTCTAGGAGTGGAAAGAAAACTCCAGAAAAAGGAACTTTTAAGACGAAAAAGATAAAAAGTATTTCTTGTCAAAGTCCCAACTCAATAAAATTCCAATGCCTTTTAAGGCATGAATTAGTTTGAAATCTTTACAGATTATAAAGTAAAAAGACACTGCCTAGAGTACTCGAAGTAAAAAAAAGGGGGGGAGGTTTTAATAAAGAGTTCACCTCCCTCCCTTAAAGTAAAGGCCTTTGTGTGTTGGTACGTTACCAAACAAGATGGCATTTAAAATCAAATATCTGTTTATATCAAAACCAGTGTCCCTCATTTTCCTCCTCCTGACTGTCTAGATAGAGGAGGGCAACCTTCTTTTCGTCCGAAATCACTGACCTCTGGTCTACCATCCTCTGCAGCTGCACCGTCTTATCAAATTCAGCCTGCTCCTTGCCCCTTTCCCCGGGAGCCTGGTGTCTGTCCCCAGCAGAGCCCTGAAAGCTCACGCTGGCAGCCAGGTCATTCCTACTGCTGGCATCTCTCCAAGCACCATGCTCAGACACACTAGGAGGTTCTGCTTCCGTCCCTGCAGGGAAGAGGACTGTGGCCTCTTGTGTCCAGCGGGGAGTCGCCTCTATGTTACTCACGTCCATCTGAAAGGTAAACGAAGTTTCTTTGGGCCCCAGGGCAACGTGCCTTAGTGTTCGGCCACCTTCTGCAACCTCGCCTACCTCAGGGGAGTCTACCGAACCAGCGAGTGGAAACGTTTTGGAAATGGGTCCGTGGAAGACAATGTGTTCAGAGGTCTTGGCTTCCGCAGGACCCAGCTGAATATGCCTAAAGGATCTGCTCACGCCTGATATCACTTCTGCCCCTGACATGTCTCCTGCACTAGCTTCCTGGGGAGACTCGGAAACGGCCCTTTGGAAGGTGCTCTTTTCAGTCATCAAGATGTTCCGACCCACAGTATAACTACGGGTGGCCAGGGTCTCGTCGGCTGAGCCCTCTCTGTGGGTGCTGCTTTCTGAGTCGCTAAATTCCAAGGGCGGGGGAACGATAGGCTCGGTGGTTTGATGCATCTGAGGCCCAATGGTGACATGCCTGATGGACGAGCCGGCCCCTGACCACGCTTCCATGTGCACAGAAGCTTCCCCGATGCCCAGCTCCACTGTGCCTGAGAGGGGGGTTGTGAGCTGGGTCCGCTCACTGAGCCCCTCCTGGGCTCCTAATCGGAGGTGCTTTATGGAAGTCTGGGTGCCCGCTGACCCCTCTGCTTGAGAAGAATCACCCGCCTTCCCCACCCCAGAAACGGGGGCCTGAAAAATAACTTCCCTCTGAGCATAAAACTGTCGGGAGCCAAATGGGCTGTGCCTGGGAGGCTCTGCAGGGCCAGGCTCCTCTGTGCCCCCGGCCTCCGGACAGGCGGCATCAGGCGCTGGGAAGACGACTTCTGGGGACACTGGGCTCTGACGGGGACCCAACGGAAAGAGCCTGGCAGACTGGCTGGCTCCCGCCGAGCTGGCTGCCCAACTCGCCTCACCCTCCCCACTTACCTCCGCTGCCTGGGCCGCGCGGCCCTCGGCCGAGACCTGCTCAGTCCTCCACGTTCCAGGGGACGCTATCCGGACGCGCCCCCCAGACTGGCTGACGTCCTCCAGCACGTGAGTGTGGACAAAGCCCGTGGGACTGGTGACTTCCACGGTGGCCGACACAGGGCCCGGGGGCGAGGCCAGGCCCGCATCTGCCTCCCCCGCGGAGGCGCTGTACAGCTCCCGGGTGGCCCAGCGCCTGAAGCCGCGGCCGGCCTCCACCTCCGGGCTGCCGGGGCCCGGACTGCGCCGCCGTGCCAGGCTGTCTCGCACCACCGACTCCACGGCCTTCTCGATCTCTCCCGCTTCGTCCCGGCTCAGCTCCTCCAGGTCTAACTGGTCGGCGTCCACCGTCTGCGAGAGGTTGACTTCGGCCACTAGGGTCACGGCCCCGCTGTCCACACTCTGGACTTTCTTCACGTCAAAGGAAACACCCGCAGGCCCGCCCTGGCCCTCTCTGGTGAGGGCGGACAGCTCTTCCTTCATGCGCTCTGGAAGGTTCTCCTCCAGCTGCTCAATCACCTCCACCAGCTGGTGCCTGGGCTCCTTGGAGCCTTCCTTAATGGATGTGTGGAACTCATGGGGTATTTTGATTTCCTTCTCAATGACTATGGGCTTGGCATGAAACTCGCCACTTCTAGTTTGTTCTTTCCAGGGAGCAGATGCCGTGTCCCCCTCCAGAGACGCTTCTGGAACATCCTCCGGCTTCACAACCTTCTCTCCTGGGACGTCGTCCCTCTGCATTCTTCTCCGAGACCCTGGCACGATCTCATCCTGCCAGGAGTATCTGATGGTGGATTCCTCTTCAATGTGGATCTGCCCATACACAGAGCCTTCTTCTCGCTCGTGGGCCCCAGGGTGTTCGTCCGGAGTCGACACAAAGTAACTCTGCTCTCCCTCCAAGTCACCTGCCTCCGTCACTTCTTCCACGTGAGTTACACTCTCCTGGGGCCGCCTGGCCTCCTGACCTGCGTTCCCTGAGCACGTGACATCTGATTCCCTGTAAACCGCCTCCTCTCTCTCCTCAACAAGCCCCCTGGAGCCCGGAGACACGTCGTCGACCTCCTCCACTTCGAACGGGGTAGAAAACTCATCTGCCTTCTCGCTGCTGACATAGCTCATGGGCTCTTCAATGATCTCCACGTTGACGACTTTTGCTCGCCCTTCTCTCCCCTTCAGACCGAGACGGATCACGTCTCCGATCAAACGCTCCGCCGATTTTCCTTTCAGCTCCACCTCTTTAGCATCCTTGCTTAACAGGTAGTCCAAGCCAGCTTCATCCGAAATGTCAATCTCTTCAGTCAGTTTCGACTCCACGACTATCTCAGTCTTTGCTTTTCTGTCACCGGGAACTTCTTTCCTGTCCACATAAGTGACTTTTGTGTCTGGAAAAGACTCAGCGGACGCTTCTGCCTCGGGAGAGTGGGTAAACTGCTTCAGGATACTGGAAACGATATTCTCAGCTATGGTTTCAGTCATGGAACCACCTTTCAGAGAGGCTGTGGTGTCGCTGGCGCCCAGCGAGAACGCTGCCTCTCTGGTTTCCACCCCTCTCCCTGTCCCATCACCAGCATCCTTCTTTAGGGGTGTCTGGAGACCCTGGGGGGCCACCTTTGCTGTGCTGTCCTGGGACACCTCTAGCCTGATCGGTATCTCTCTCCCCTTCACACTTGCCTCCTTCAGCGACTCCTTCTCTCTAGCCTTTTCCCTCATCTGCTCGCTTTCTCTCTTTCTTGCTTCTTTATCTAACTTTGTCAGTTCTTCCCACCTTAAGTTTCTCTCCTCTGAAGCCTTCTCTTTGGAATCGAACATTTTCTCTTCTCGCTTTGTTTGAATGGTTTCTGGTCTGTTTCTCTCCTGCTCCTTTGTGGCTTTAGCTTCCGTTTTCTTTCCCAAAATGACGGTCCTCTCATTTGACCACGTGCCCTCAGAAGTGGCTGCCGCCATCTTGTCCCTGCGTTCTCGGTAGGACTCTGGGGCAGCGGCGGACTCTTTGGCTGAACTAGTGGGTGGAGCCTTTGTTCCTTCAGTTTTTGGCCTCTCAGGGAATGTTTTCGCTTGAGCTTCAGTATTTCTTAAAAGACCGGGGGTTGGAGAGAACGCTCTGAAGTTGGTCTGACCGCTGGCAGTTTTCTCATAAGCGTTCTCCTGCCAGGCAGTGGTGAAAGAAGAGTATCCGGAACGCAGGACGTCTCTTCTGGCATCGCTTCCGATGGGTGTCTGAGAACGTGGCGCCAGGCTCTGCCGGAAGCTCGCAGGAGGTGCTTTTTGCCTTGGAAACAGATTTCTCTCATTTTCTTTCTGTAATACTGAGGTGGTATATTGATAGGACTTGTCTCTGAATTCTGTAGAAATTGAACAGTACATTAAAATGATAGTCATCATTACCTTTTTTCATCTTAAAAGCATCACCACAGATCAGATCTTATTCCTTCATAATATATACCATTACCACAGAAGGGTCATTATAAATGAAGTATGTTCAGTTCCCAAATTACTTTTTCCGGTAGTTTAAAGAATCCCATGACAATAAAATACAGCTCTACAAATGCTTCCACACAACACTTTTCTCCAATTACTGATCTTAAAATACTCATCCATCTTAAACATATCAAACGTGATCATAAAGCATAGCACTTGTGCCAGTGAGGTTAGGGGTATATTTATGTGGCAGAAATTTCACAGTTTGGAATCCTTCATTTCCACTTTGTTGAGGTAACTTTATTTTACTGAAGAGCAGAGAAGAGCTTCATAATTACCAAAGATAGAGTATATAACTATTAAACATTGAACGGTATTACCCCACCACCTTTAACTATGCTCTTTTTTTTTTCTTCTTCACTGATTTCCATGTTGGGTCAACAAACACTGAAGAATTTAACTTTTTTTTTAAACTTCCTGATTTCAACTTTTATACTTTTTTTCCTTTTTCAAACATCTCATTTGAAAAGGTGCCAAAGTAGAAAGTCAGCCAGTTGCCACTACTACAGTCTGTCTTAATGTCATGGTCGTAGGACTGGAAGGCTGTCTGTGGGGCTTCCTGCTTTGCTCTGGCCCATCCACAGAGATGCTACCCTTGGGGATGGCCACACACCCCAGGGTAACTGCTCTTACGAGTGGCCGCTGGTGGTAGGAATGTAGCCTGGCTAGCAGGACCATCTACCCTGGGGGTACCCCCTCATGCCTACCCACACCCATCTGCTGATATGCATAGAGCCTTCTCACCCTCTGGGTCTCCCCCACTGCAGCCAACCAGCTTCCTCAAATTCAACAACAAACTTGCTGGACATTGTCTAAGACCAAATTCCATCCAATCACAGATGACTGGAACCAAAATTATTCTGAACCCAGTGACCTGTCAACCTGTGAAGTATCTAATCTGGGATGTTGCTGTTGAAAAATAAAGATAGAGGGTGCTATTTTTTTTTTTTTTTAAATCTACCACCTATATAGATTGGCTGTTATAATCAAACACTCTCCTGATAGTGGTAACCAATACATACATGTATGCCTAACACACCATGATTCTGAATATGACAACACTCACAGAGCTGAACTACCGAGTAGGGTGTACAACCAACACATTGTACCTAATGGAATCTGCCCTTGCTTAAGAAAGCAAGCTCTTAAAGGTTGTACGAGTCCAGGGAAGTTTTCTTTTTCTCAGTTATCCTACAGGTTCTCTGGGTCTTTCTAATCAACACTAACTCTCTAACAGTTGGTTCTGCAGCCACAGAAAGTTTGGACTTCGTGCTGCAGCTTTTGGCCTGGATAGAGGTCAACCTCAGGGCACTAGCTGACACTGCTGCTCACATCGCCCTGAGCTGCCCACGCAGACACAGGCTGGTGGAAACGGTATAATCCTTTTACCTCTGCTCGAGACTTCCAATGCTGAGCCTGCTAGACAAAGTAATACCTCCCTGAGCTTGTGTGAAGGCTGTACATCTTTGCTCTGTAAACGGTGTTCCCACCAAAGCGTATGATGAACAAATGCATGTCCACCTTCTCACCGGCTCTCCATCAGCCCTCTCCTCCCTCACCACGCTGGGTAGGTTGAACCCTCAAAACACTAGCTAGATGGACAAATGAGTTAATGAAGCCCTTTCCTATACAATCTCATTTGCATTATTATTGAAACTGTGTGTATGCATGTGTATACATGTGATGTATGTATGCCTGTGCACGTACACGCACTTAATCATTCAGTCATGTCTGACTCTTTGTGACCGTTTGGACTGTAGCCCACCAGGCTCCTCTGTCCATGAGATTTCCCAGGCAAGAATACTGGAGTGGGTTGCCATTTCCTTCTCCAGAGGATCTCCCCAACCCAAGGATCAAATCCATGCCTCCTGTGTCTCCTAGATTACAGGCAGATTCTTTACCCTGAGCCATTGAAACTAAAGTAAATTCTATTTGGTGCTTGAGAAGTACGAAATGAAGAGTTTTCTGAAAACTCTTATCTAACCCCAACTCTTTTTATCAATAGAATGAACCTGCGCAGATGGACAGCATCTTAACGTTAAATGATAAGCTTCCCTTATACTTACCTTGTGGCACGTTTTCAATGCACTCAGTAACGATCAATATCTCCGGATTACTTTCTCCTTCCAGTAAGGCTCTGTAAAAATTATTTTTAAAAAGCTCATTAGGAAATAAAAGATGAGAAGTGCCTCTTCAAAGCTGTTGATCTTGGCACAGGGTCATGGGTCTGCAGACGACACAGGGCGTGCCAGACCTGGCTCGAGAGCACACCGATCAGCCAAACGAACGAGGGGGCTGGGCCTCCAGAAGGACTGGAGAGCTAAGGCCTTCTAGAAAGCCCTTCCAAACCCAGGGAGAGGAGGAGGAGATGAGGGATGTGGACCCAGGAGGGTAGGCCAGGGACCTGGCTTCCCTGGGAAGCGGTGAGGGGCCCATGCCTGGCAGGCCACTCGGGGCCACAGAGCCCCAGGACAGCTACTACTACCCCACCAGGGTCTCCCTGGAGTCACAGGTCAGGGGTTAACTAGGGGCAGAGGAAGGGCTGACACTAGTCTGTAAATAAGGCAATCAGACTGCATGTACACTTTTCAAATTGGGTTCTATGGGGACATCTTAGAGATGAAAACAACAGAGGAGAGATGGAAGGGGCAGGCAGAAGATGAGAAAGAAGAGCTTCAGACGCCCCGCCCCCTCCACCACCACCACAGCCCCCAGGGGCCTCATTTCCAGGCGGCATCCAGTTACCTCCTCTGATAAAAATGGCAAAATGCACTAGACTAGGGGGTTTCTTTGGCCATGTCTATCTCCAAAAGTGTAAAACCATAGAGTCTTCACTGTTATCCACGTCTAGGACTCGAAGCCCTGAAGAAAGAGCAGACGCAGGCCCCACTGGCTCTGCGCCCCACAGTGGGTCAGCCAGACCCAGGGCCCTGAGACCCTAGGATGCGGGCTACTGTGGGCACAACAGTTGCTCGGTTGCCAAAGCAACGTGTGAGGTCACAAATGTCAGTTCCAAGAAATACACTGCATAGGGCAAAGGGCAAGCAAAAGTGGATCCCACTTGGAAATGCTGACTGACCACGAAGAGCCAGGCAGCCAAACGGGAGGGACGCCAGCAGGGACTCTGCGGTCAGGCAGAGCAGTGCCAGGTCCTGTTTCCACGGACTCAAAAGGTGGTGATTCCCACACATGCGAGAGCCCCATGGGTGGCTGGGAGAGGGCAGGAGGCCCCCACCCCGAGCCCAGGGAGAAGCAGAGACGAGGGCGAGGGGTTCCAGCCCAGCTGCGTGGGGTTCACCGGCCGCCCCGGGGCCGTGCCCAGAGCCCCGCGCGCCACACCCAGGGGCCAGGACACCGGACACCGGCCCGCTAATCCCACACCGTCCTGACCTGGCGTGTTGGGTTCCCCGACCACAAATAGAAAATGCCAAGGTCCCTATAGGATAAAAAGGCACACGTTGACGGGAAAGTCAGCCTTGTGGGGGGGGGGGGGGGGGGGGGGGGGGCGGGACGGGTGCACCCAGAATGGCACCAACAGGAAAAGCAGCGTCCTATAGCCAAGGGGCCAGAGGGTGCCAAGAAGCCAAGTCCTATTTCAACTCTTCCCTCCACTTGCTCGGGAGGAAGCCTCGGGTACCACAGGGTGCTCCCGCTGGCTGCCCACAGCAGGCAGAAAGGGCCTGCAGGGTGTCCCGGCCAGCAGAGAACAGATGACAGGTGGGCGGGGTGCTCAGGATAATGATGCGCCGGTGGTAAAAACACCTTCCTTCTCCCCTCATAGGGCCATGGCTTTGTTCCTCTTTCAGGGAAAATCCAAATCATCACCAGACTTCTAGAGTGCAGGACCCTAAGTTGGGTACTGCGGTTCCTGGGAGGGGCACCAGAACTCGAGGGGTGACAGAGCCGTAACATTCCCGCCCCCAAGGCCTTTGCCAGCCTTGAGACGGGGCACCCTAAGCAGGCTCCGACCCTGCCGTCTGTCTCACTGAGCCCTGGCAATCCCACGCTGGGCCGATGGCGTGTGTCGCGGCGCACAGTGAGCAGAGTGGCAGAGATGGGGGCCAGGCCGCCTGGGCCTCCCTGCGGGGGTAGAGATGGCGCCGTCTCACACACATGGTACATCTAACCCCGCAGACAGAGCCTCCAGACCACACTAATGAAGTACAGAAGTCGCCTGTGATTTCAGTCCCAATGCCCCTAACAGGGGTGGACACTCCCTGAGTACTCGGGCCCGCGGCGACGCCCCTCCCGACGGCTGGCCCGACCTGCGGGCGGCACCTTCTCCCCGCAGCCGCCCAGCACGGGCCTCACAGGCGGGGCCGCTGGTGCTGAACCCAAGCCTCCGTGAATCCCCCGCCCACACGCGCCGCCCCGCCTCCGTGAAGCCCCTCACACGCGCGGCACCCCGCCTCCGTGAAGCCCCCCAGACACGCGGCACCCCGCCTCCATGAAGCCCCCCAGACACGCCCCGCCCCGCCTCCATGAAGCATCCCCACACACGCGATGCCCCGCCTCCGTGAAGCACCCCCACACACGCGATGACCCGCCTCCATGAAGCATCCCCAGACACGCGGCGCCCCGCCTCCGTGAAGCCCCCCAGACACGCCCCGCCCCGCCTCCGTGAAGCATCCCCAGACACGCGATGCCCCGCCTCCGTGAAGCTCCCCAGACACGCGATGCCCCGCCTCCGTGAAGCATCCCCAGACACGCGATGCCCCGCCTCCGTGAAGCTCCCCAGACACGCGATGCCCCGCCTCCGTGAAGCATCCCCAGACACGCGATGCCCCGCCTCCGTGAAGCATCCCCAGACACGCGATGCCCCGCCTCCGTGAAGCATCCCCAGACACGCGATGCCCCGCCTCCGTGAAGCATCCCCAGACACGCGATGCCCCGCCTCCGTGAAGCATCCCCAGACACGCGATGCCCCGCCTCNGGTAATAAGATACTGGCACTTCCCTGCCCCCCCCACCCCCAGCTCCAAAGAGGCTTAGGGGACCGCCTGGAACTCTAGATGGGGACTGGGAACCGAAGGATAAGGGAGGAAGGGGGGCGGAAGTCCATCTGAAGGACCGGCATTGCCATCGGATTTGGAAAGGTCTGCCCCTGGCACAGGCGGGTGAAAGACCATAAGCAGGCAGTGCTGCCAGGCTCCCTGGTCATTGCCTCTGCGCTGGGGATGAATGCACACGTGGAAAGTTTGTCAAATCCAGAGACAGACAAAAAAAGCAGACATAAAGAACAAGATTACAAATAAAGCAGAGAGAAAGCACTGGGAGTGATGAGCAGAGAAACTTCCAGAATCAGGTTGCCTGGATTTAAACCCTGCTACTGTCTAGTCCTGTGACTCAGGCAAGCTACTCAACTCTCTGTGGCTCAGTTTCCCCATTTGTGAAATAGGGAGCACTGTTTGTGGTGCTAATTGACAGGGAACAGGTTTGTGGTGCTAATTAATAAAGTGACTAGGTGCTAATTAATAAAGTGACTAGAAAGTTCTCCCAACAATGGTTGTCACAGAATCATGCTCAGTAAAGGTCAGCCATCTTCGTCATCACCTACATCATTTTCTACTGACCTCAAAAAAAAGCTGATTTTCCATTAACCAATATAATTCAAGAAGAGAAGAGATTGTGGATAACCTAAAGTCACAGTTAACTGAGGGCTAATTCATTCACACAATGCATCCGTTGATCCTAATTGTCTATTCCTAAAACTACAAGATTTTATTAACTTCAAGTTTTCCACCAAATAAGCAGATAAGTCTCAGTGTTAACACATTTTTATAAATTTTCCCAAAGCAGAATTCAACTTTTAAAATAACAAAGTGTATTTCTCCAAGAACTTGATAATTTCCAAATGTTTTCACTTGAACAGATACATAAAAAGGTACAGGTGGTCTTAAAAATAATGGAGCAACCAGAAACATCATTAAAATAATAGTTACCAACTTTAGGCACTATCTGTATTGTAAACTTAGACACTGGATATTCTCAGTTTAAACCCAGCGACTCTGCCCACTGCAGATACAGGGGGTTCTATACGTCCTCCCCCAGCACAGACATATCAACACAAAGACCCTAAAGGACTTTGCCATGAAGTCCCCAGACAGGAAATCTTTGCCCAACACTTCCATATGTGGCCAGGCAAGACTACCTTTAGTGTTTTTCACTTGAGAAATCCTTTGGCCCTGCTCTCCATTTTTCCAGGGGAAACTTAGAGCTGTTATACTCTCCACTCCCAAAACATAAAAAACAAAGCCTTCTTTGTAAATTCTGATGGAGATTTCATTATCTGTACCCTGGATCAGAAATCCCAAAGGGGCCCCTGCCTACCCTCAGTTTTGTCCTTTCTGGACTGGCTTTCTCTGGGTAGTTTTGCATCTTTTGTTTCAATTTTGACTATCTTTTTTATCCCCCAAAAAATGTTTTCTAACAGCCTACTCCTAATGATGGGGTTCTGTCCTCTTTTGGTGCAGGGTGGGGAGGGGGGATTCTCTACTTTTGACTGTGTTTCTACAAATTCTCAATCTGTAGCTTGTAGGCCTGATCTTTATGTCAGCAGCGAGGGGCCCAGGACATGGTGGGTTCTGAATACTGTCCTATTCCTATCCCCCACGTTCCCTACCCTTCAAGGCCCAACTCAAATCCCACAAACCTTGAAAAGCTCTCAGGCTACCCTGGCTTGAAGCTCACCATTCCCTCTCTGAACCATCGTTACCAGACCCTATTCACTAACAGGAAACCATGTGCAGTATTTTCTTGGAACGTGCATTCTATTATTTTAACATCTTTGACTTTTCACCGAAGCACACTTCTCCTTTCCTGTGACACCCCCTCACCTCCCACCTCCACCTCTTCTACATATGATGTTCAAATCTCTGACATCCTTCAAGACCCAGATCAACATCACCTCCCTCGAGAAACCTCCCCTGATTCTCACAACTCCCTTCAGACTCCAGAAGCCCTGCACTTGGGGACGTGTCTTATATCCCACGGTGTAGGAGGCTACCTCTGTCCACGTGGCCTTATCCTCAGCACCCGGCCACACCCTTGTGACCCCCCTGAGCAGGCATCATACCTTGCATGCGGACCGTCTCCAGAACAGCCTAAGCACACAGACGCCAGCTCACAGAACACAGCTTCACGGGTGAGGTTCTTACCCACCCATCACACATGGCCCTCCATGGACAGCCCCTAAAACCAAGCTGCCCAAATGCTTGGCCTTGCTACAGACATGTTAGCTCAGTTCTCAGGTCCTTGCTTCAGCTGCCCCCTCGGCCTGAAAGGCCCTTTCCTCATCGTCTCTTCCTGGCTGCCCCCCAGCAAGGCTCAGCGCTGCCTCTTCCAGGAAGCCCGCTCTGCATGCTCCAGCAGCCCCTCACTAGGTCTGCCTCTCTGTCTTGTCCTCTAGCCTACTGGGAGACAGGCTTAGAGATTTCTGGATGCCCCTGGGGGCTCTACAAATAGCAATGTGGGCACAGATCACCTGGGATCCTGTGATAGGAAATTCTGATCAGGGTGGGCCCAAGGCTTCACAGAAGCCTAAGATGCCGAGTGATGCCAACACTGTGGGTCTGCAGGCCTCCAGGGCAGGGCCCCAGAACAGCATTTCTCTGCCCTGGGTGTACCTGACAACAATCCTTGCTGCTGAAGCACGACCACGCTTGGGCCCACCTGGTGCCAGTCAACAGGAACATCTAGGACTGGGCCCGGGAGCCGATGCTTTGTCAGCTTCTCCGGGTGACGCCCGTGTGCAGACATGGCTGAGAACCAAGCCCTGGCCCGTTTCTGAGCATCTCCCCATTGTCACTCAGCCCCTCATAAACAAACACCCCCACTTCAGGGAAAACCTCGAGTGATGGTGGACAAGCATCTCCAGCTGCGCACGACATGACCGGCGACAGGCAGACGAGAGCGAGTGCAGCCGTGCCCACCTGCCTCCTCTGCACCCCCTTCTCCCGGGTGTGCACCCCCTTCTCCCGGCATCCTCGACCTGGCCTGGCCCAGCCTGGGGCTCCTGCCCACCGTCACCGGCCACCTGGGGCAAAGGGCTCATTCTCGGTCCACCTGCCAGGCAGACCCCAACTGACCAACTTGGGTTTGGTGAAATCCTCCAGTCTTGGACTCTGAGGTTTACTTTATTTTAATTTTATTATTTTATTAAATTACATATTTGCTTTGTGTTAGCTGCTCAGTCGTGCCCAACTCTTTGCAAGCCCATGGACTGTAGCCCGCCAGGTTCCCCTGTCCATGGGATTCTCCAGGCAAGAATCCTAGAGTGGGTTGCCATTTCCCCCTTCAGGGGGTCTTCCCAACCCAGGGATCAAACCCAGGTCAGGTTGCAGGCAGATTCTTTTACCACTGAACCATGATGGGGGCTATAAACTATAAGCTTCTATCCATTAATTATGCGTTACGCCATTCTGTTACTACTTTAACGTTTCTTCTTCACGGTGAAAGTTACGGTGAAGAAGGGTCAGACACCTGGGTTTGGAAGGGTTCGCGGCACTTGCGAGCTGGCCTCCACACAGCGCAGAGTCAGCCGTGCTGGGCTGTGCTTCCGGCTTCCTGGGGACCAGCCCACCCCTCCCGTGGGAAGCGTGTGGTTGGGGTGTCAGCTGGCGAGCAGGGCTGGGGGGGCGGCTGTGGCTGGGAACAATCCAGCCGCGAGGGGGAGCAACGCTGGCCGCAGCCGTCGCCCACCTCAGCCCCCTGGACGGGCTGGCGAGCAGCTGTGCGGCGTGGGCCCCTGCCACCCTCCCGGAGGCAGCGGAGGGAAGGTCAACCTCCCAGGGTCGGTGAGTCAAGGTTCACAAAGACCAAACGGGAGCTTGTGAAGAGGAGTTTTCAGACCTGGGCTCAGAATTTGGGCAGGAGCACGAAGTACCGAGACAGTCACGGGAGACGCGACAAGGATTTATCTTCAGGACACTTACCAGTGATGGGAAATGCCAGGCCCTGGGCTGCTACAAAGGACCGGGTCAGATTCAGCTGCCTGCATGTCCTCTAGGTCTGCAGGCGGCTCCGGTCTCAGAGCTGAGCCCTGGGGGGCGGGGGCGGTGGCAGTTCTAACCACAGGGTCGAGCTCCCCATCTCCCCCAAGCTCACCTGGACTTCAGAAAGGCACAGTGACATCAGTCACCCGCCTCCTGGGAAGGACTGATGCCTCCTACACCCCTAGGAGGTGGCCACGTCAGTCCCTAATGGGTGAGAAAAACAGACGCCCAGTCACAGACAGGAGTAAGCTCTGTCCCTGCGATGTGAGCGAAAGAAGTTCACTCACCACCAAGAGAAAAGCTAGAAACACGCTAAGCCTTGAGGACAGCTGAGCTGGGAGGGCTGGGAACACCTCCCAGGGAGGGAAGGCCCACCTGTAAGCGCTGACTTCCCACAACAGGGAAGTGGGGACAGGACATGGCGGGGAGGCAAGGACTCAAAACCCCGGAAAGATGAGGCGTAAAGTCAGAGTCTCTGGACTCCAACCCAGGAGTTTTACAGGAAGGAAACAGGAAGATCCAACACACTCTGTAGAGAAAAGGCTCCCTCGACCCCAGACCTCGCCTAACGCGGCACAGATGCAGGTTTTCTAGGCAGCCTAGCGTCTGCCCTGAAAGGCTGGGCCTCCGGCCCGTCTCAGCCCGTGGGACCTGGGGAAGCCGACCCTCCAATCACTCTGTTCCCCGGGCCAAGGGCAGGTAGGGGGCCCAGCAGAGCCAGGGGGGCCCCTCCTCTGCCCACGTGACTGGGGGCTGCAGGGACAAGAGCCTGTAGCCGCTGGGGGCCCTCCTGCCGTGGGGGGCGCAGAGCAAGGAAGGAAGGGGCCAGAGACACAGGGCCAGACCGCCAGCAGCGCCACCCGGTTCAGTTCTGTGAGGAACAAGAGCCTCTTTTGACTTGAGCCAGTCTGAGAAGGGCTTCTGTCACTGGCAAGTGACAAAAATCCTAGTTAATGCTTCCCTCCCCCAAACAAAGCCCAACTATTTTCATGTTTTCCTTCTTAGTCAAGTTTAACTTATCTCACTCAGCATGTGTTTGAACAGCCTGCCGATCTGATTTTGCAGTCGCTCACCCCATGAGGTTTCCGAGGAGAACGCGGGGAGATGGACCTTGGCAAGCACAGACTGACCAGTGCCACCTCTGTCCTCCCCGGTGCCCTGACCCCCCACCTGCTGGGCCCCAGGACCATCCCTCAATTCCATGCCCCCTGTGGTCCAGCCCAGGGCCTGCCCGACAGATTGCTCCCTCCTCACGATGGTAACAAGTGCCCTGGCCAAAGGCTGGCTGAGGCAGGTCCTCCAGATGGTGAAGAATCGGTGAGGCTGGCCCCAGGCTCCAGTGTGGATGCCCAGCTTACACTGGCCGGAAAGAAAGCTGCTTCCAGATGCACACCAAAGCAGCCGGGTCACTCTGATATTCAGAGTGAGGGTAAGATCGGGAGACCCACAGGCAGCCCCCAGCACGTGCCGAAGCGGGCTGGGCTCCGACCCGGCCGCGTGCCCCAGCCGGGAGGTGGACCTCGGTCCCCTCCTCCCTCCTCCAGGTCTAACTTCCCATCTGCCGACAATGATGGCTCTGACAACCAGGCCTCCTGGGATCAGCCAGGGCCCAGGCTCCAAAGCTCACCCACACCCACGACTGACTCACACTCACAGCAAACAGGAGTGAGGGGGCATCGAGTCCCCTTTACACGGCTTGGTGGGTATGGCACAGGCCCCACACCAGCCTGGATGCCAGCTTCTAGACCCTTCCCTCACATGCAAAAGGGGTGCATGGTGTCCACCACCTGAGGGGTGACACAGGCAGTGAGCTGCCTCAAAGGACTTAGCACTGTGTCAGGCAGGCAGGAAGGGCTCAGTACCCACAGTCATCTCACAAGTGGGGAGCTGGGCTCCTAAAAGTCCTTCCCCTGTAAGCGTCTGCGATCTGGGGCCCCCGGTCCAGTCCTCATTGGCTAAGAAAGCTGCAAGCGGTGGGAGGTGCCACCTCGGCCAGTGATGGCGCATCCCTGGGGGCAGGAGGTGGGTGCGGAGGGCAAGCACCACTCTGTCACACCAGGGACACGCGGCCACAACCTCCGCCCCTCTGAGGGCTCCGTGACTGTTTGATCTGGGTTGACTGAAATCAAGTCAACATCTTGATAAACAAAGCCAGGCACCTGGAGCTCCCTGCTGATCTTCAGGCAGAGACGAGGGTCTTCAAGGCTGAACCCCTGGAGACAGAGTCAGAGCCCCAGGGTTTGAGGCAACAGCATGACAGGCAGACGGACTCAGACTTTCTGGGTCCGAGTCCTGGTCCTGTCCTTCCTAGGTCTGTGGCTAACACAGTGCCTAATCCCGAGGATCCAGGGAGCGGGTGTGTGTACAGCTCTTCACTGGTTCCCTAGACACACAAGGGGCGGGCAAGGGGGCAAAACTCAGCTACTCCCAGCACCAAGGGGTGCCCGCTCTGTGATCTGAGCGGGCCCTGCCCCCCTCCGCGCTCTGGCCCTGGACACCTGCCTTGGCCACCCTGGGGGCTGCTCCCAGCTGTGACAAAGCCACGGCCACTGTGCGGAGCCTGCAGGGGCTTTAAAGTGCTGCTGGCTCCAGCTCGGCGGGCTCAGCGCAACACCCTTACCTGTAGGTTGCCACCTCCAGGCTGAGGCCAGTCTTCACCTGCACGAGCTCCTGGTAGTCCCGCAGCCGGTCGGCCATGGCCAAGGTGAGGGCTGCCTTCTCATCCTCCAGGTAGGCGATCTCTCTCTAAAGAGAACAGAAGGTTTGGGGGTCAGGGGGGCTGGAGCTCTGTGGGGTCCAACTCAGCAGCTCAGGACACAGTAAGAGATGAAAAATTTCCAGATTTATTAAAAACACCATCATTGCAGGGACAATTTTTAAATACTGTATTTCTCCCATCTGGAAAGGTTTGTTTTTTTTTTTTTTTTAATCACATAAGAAAGATGTAGCTAACACAGAGAATTTTCTGTTCATACTCCCTAATAATAATGAAAGCTTGTAAAGCATTTCTACACCTTAGACATCAGTCAGTACAGGTAAGTAAACACACTGACACTGGTGAAGTAACGTGCTATTTAAAATAAGCCAAGACTAGAAAGCAGGGATTTTACTATATTTAAAACAGAAGTCACTCAGATCTGAAATAGAATTTCCCCCACACTCACCATTTCCCCAGTTGTATAAGCTGATACAGACCTCTTTGCTTTACCTAGACAAGCTATTTTAAAATCATCTGGGAGAAAAGTTACATTAATGAGACAAGAAAATATTCAGGGCATAAATGTCAAAAGTCAGACCTGGATATAAACCTTTATGACTGTTCTCATAGCACATGGTTAATAAGAGCTCCCGGGCACGTATTCACGTCGCCCTCATGGCAGTTCCGCTCCCGCAGGGTTAACTGCATCTGTCCATGTCCTGCGGCTGGGAGATATCGCAGAGCACTGCCTGCAGCCTCCTGCACTTCCCACTCCCCTGCCTCCCCCCATCCCTACCCCGTCTCTAGAAAAATGTCCTTTACATACGAGTCATAAAACACACAACTGGTGAACTGGATTTAAAATGAAATGACCACGGTAATATTACTTTCCCCAAAATATCCCAGTTTAAATCAACAATATATTTTAATAAACGCAATGGTTTCATTTATACCATTTCACAGTTCTGCGCTACTCTGCATTAACAGTCTTACATAGCATTTTATAGCTATGCTGGGGAATAATCAGCTGAACAAATACTTAGAACTTTGAGTAAGTCCACATACTTTAACTTCTGGTTTGCAATTATTTCTGAACACAATTAACTAAAAAGCTTACATTCTTAGACAATTATCTTTGTGGAATTTAAAAATTGTAAGACTCCTGGGAGAAGGAAATCTATTTTCACTTATCACATAATCCCTCCATCAAAGGCACCTGGCAATATGCTGACCATCCAAAATCAATAGTGTCTATGAAACTAAGGAATGAATGCAACTAAGGTCTCACACTGGATTTACCACCTAAAAAGAAGCATGATCAGCATGTAAATAATTCTGCTTCTCATAGCAGTTCTATACATCTAAACTAATAATTACTGTTATGCTCTTTTTGTCTACATAAAGTATGCTAAAAACAAAAACTGAAGCTACTTCGCTTTTAAAGCGAAGGAGTAGTTTTAAAGCAAAGCAGTAAATTTAAAAAGCGCTAGGTAGTATCCGAGGAGAAGGCAATGGCACCCCACCCCAGTACTCTTGCCTGGAAAATCCCATGGACGGGGGAGCCTGGTAGGCTGCAGTCCATGGGGTCACACAGAGTAGGACACGACTGAGCGACTTCACTTTCACTTTTCACTTTCATGCACTGGAGAAGGAAATGGCAACCCACTCCAGTGTTCTTGCCTGGAGAATCCCAGGGACGGCAGAGCCTGGTGGGCTGCCGTCTATGGGGTCACACAGAGTCGGACACAACTGAAGCGACTTAGCAGCAGCAGTGGGTAGTATCTGAGGGTGAGTAAGTGTAAACACCCTCCAAAACTGGCATTACAAATAAAGAGGTTTATCAAAGCAGACCATTGGCCAGTCTTGATTTAACTGACAGCTACCAGAATTTGGTCATGCTTGACATTCACATATTCTGTAGTTAAGTCTTAGTGTTAAAACCCTATGTTTCCCCATTTTAGAGGAAGTATAAACTCAGGTACAAGGTTACAGTATGAAATGTGTAAACATAGCATATGAATCCTTCCTACTAGAGGAAATTCTACTTAAATATTAAAATTTGATGACATACAGTAATGTCTTTTTTGCAGAGAAGTTCAGTTATTGCTAAAATGCTTAGGAAAAGAACCAGACATATTCAATTCTCTAACCACAAACCTCCTAGGCAAGTCAAGATCTCCCAGTCATGCCAAGGAGGTAGCACAAAGATTCTTCTCCCTCCCAGGGGCCCAGAGCAGTTCTGTACCCACAAAACAAGAAGAGGAAAATCAAACTGTGTCTAAGTTACAATAAGAGCAGTTCCAATCACATTCCCACATGAGTCAAGTCTTCCGAAACCGTCAAAGGAAAACTCATTGACTTTTGGAAGCAGGAACATAAGAATTACTGGCTCCCAGCAGTCTCCACAGGAATTGTAACCCATCCTGCTGGTTGAATAAAGCGTCAGACTTGGCCTCCAGTTCTCCAGAAGTTTTCAGACCCTGGGCCAGGCCAAGGCACTTGAGCCTGACACACAGCAACGGATTCTAACCCAGGCAGAGCAGTTTTGCCGAGTGATACAAGAGCTGGGGAAAAAGGTCACCTTTTCAGTTGCTATTTTAGAGAGCTGCTGGGTGCCTCACAACGGATGATGAAATGCAAGCTACACAAGGGAAAGTATGCCGCACTCAGTATCCAAAGAATTCCCTTTCTCTTAACCAAACTTGAGCGGCTCCTAGCGAAGCTCATCACAAGAGGAAGAAGAGCTTGCAAGTGTCACCTTGAATGCTGGAGCTCAAAGGAATTTAAATACTGTGATAACCGCATTTAGGTGCAAGAACTAAAAGCAAGTGCTAATAACAATGCATCCACTGGATGCTAAGTATTTGCAGCTCTGACCCAGGCCACACTCTGAACTCCAGGCTCATCATGTTATGTTACGAGACCACATGGCTATCTCGGAGGCATTTCAAACCCAGCTCTGCTCTCCCACCCAAGCCTGCCTTCCTGCACCAACCCCGTTCCTCCAGCATCTCTGGCCCCAAGCCCTGGAGAGGACTTGATTTCTCCCTCTCTCCCTCTATATCCAATCCATCTGCAAAGCCTATAGGCTTCAACTTCAGGGTGAAGTCCGATCTCTGCCCTTCGCTGCTGCCCAATCCCCCAGCACCTCCTGTCTTGATGGCAAAGTCTCCAAAAGAGATCGCCCTGCTCCCACTTGTGTGGTTGGAACTGCATTTATCTTAACTTACAGTCTAATTTTCCTCCTCTTATTTTGCGGGGTTCAGAACTGTTCCGGGAGGGAGAGAATTTTTGTGTTACCTCCTTCACATGGCTCAGAGAGCCTGACCTGCTTAGCAGATTTGCAGTTAGAGCACTGAATGTGTCTGCTATTTTTTTCTAAGCATTTTAACAATAATTAAACTTCTCTGCTATAGTACATGGGGTCACAAAGAGTTGGACATGACCGATGCGACTTAGCATGCACAAACTTCTTTGCAAAGAAGTCATGTGCAACACAGCAGCCAAGGAGACTCCATGAAGACACAGGTCACCACTCCTCTCTGCACAGAGCCCTCCAGCGGCTTTCCACACGCTCAGAGCAAAGGCCAGGTCCTGCCGTCACCCCCTCACCCTCACCCACGCGCCCCAGTCACACCCGCCCCTGAAAACCACACTGTTTCCACCTCCAACCTCTGAGGTCAAGGACTTGTCCGTTGTGTCTGTTATGTTCCCTGCTGTACCCCCAGGACTTTAGAGGCCAGCTTGGTACACTAAGTGCTCAATGTGGGCTTCTTTCACCACCCGCAGCTCGCAGATGGGGAAACGGAGACACAAACAGTGGCAGAGCCAGAAATGAGACCCAAGCAGGGCGGCTAAACTGACTCCATTACAATTGAAAGAAAGTTCTCAGTCATTCACACCTCGGTGGTTGTGTAAGCTGTCCAGGGCCAGCCTCGAGGCTAAAAGCACACTTTTATATGTGTTTATGGGTAAGGCTGGTGTAAATCATAAACATCTTCCAGTTTTTGCCTGAAGTCCCTTCCTGCAGACTGGGAGGCAGGGTTCAAGTGATCTGTGCTCAGTCACTCAGTTGTGACCAACTCTTTGCGGCCCCGTGGACTATAGCCTGCCAGGCTCCTCTGTCCATGGAATTTTCCAGGCAAGAATACTGGAAGGGGTTGCCATTTCCTTCTCCGAGGGATCTTCCCAACCCAGGATCAAACCCGCATATCTTACATCTCCTGTGTTGGCAGGCAGATTCTTTACCACCACGCCACCTGGGAAGTTTCAAGAAATTTGAACTATGCAAAAATGCTGGGGACTTGGATGTCAGTTCATCAATCTTCTCTGACAAACCTGAGGCAAGGGGCCCACCAGACAGGCCTAAGGCAGGCAGGCTATCTGGGAAGGCCCACTTTCCCCAGAGAGTCCTGGCAAGCAGATTCCCCCTCAAGCTGCAGACGCAGCCCAGAGCCTGGATACTGTGTGGGGGTTCCTGCCTCCAAACAAGGGTTTCCATTAAACCATAAGGGAAACAGAAGGCAGTAAATGAATGACTTAACTCTAAAACTATTCTGACAACAGCCAGCTGGAAGAGTCTGAAAGCATTTTAGAATTTTAGATTAACAGGCACCTCTTGCTAGTCCTTATGAAGAACAGGGGTCGTCATTCTATGAAAGCAAAACAAATACTGGTTTAAAGTCCATCTTTAACAGAACATATAGGAGAGAGGGAACACTGCCCAGTGGTTAGTTGCTCAAGCAATGAAGCCTCAATCAAACCCAGGCTTAGCTACTTACTAACTGGGTGACCTACAGGCCTCAGTTTCATCATCTCCAAGATGGGGCAAATACTGGTACCCACTTTCTAAGACTGGCATGAGGACTGAGGGTGAATACACATGTGATTGGCTTCATACCTGTGGTACCTGGCATACAAGAAGCTAATTCTTAGTAATGAAACTTTTATTACAGTAAATTAGTTAAATCAGGTCTTGTATTTTCAGTCTCCCCAGGGTAGCTTCTTTAGATTTGAAAACGTCAGGAACTTGGGGTTAAATCATCAGTACTCAGTCTTAAACAAAATTTCTAGCATTTCTACACTCCTTAAAAATAAAACACTAATGCTTGGTGTTGAGTTTTTTGGAATGCAACTGGAAATATGGTTGCTTTAAGCTAACTGATGAAAGCTTCAGGGGATGGATAAGGAAATACAGAGTGCAATAGAACCTGTAAGTCCTTATCAACGTTTTCCTTGATCTTTATTTGCTTTTAGCGGAATGAAGCAAATTCCAGTAAGAGAGGTAGTAACCGGACAGGAGGGTGGGGTCCTGGTTCTGGGTCAGGTGTGACCCCAGGAAAAGGCCCTGGAGTCCCAGTGCCAAAGAAGGTAATCTGAACTGCATGTCAGATGCCCACATCTTCTGGAATCAGAGGAACTCCACTTCTATCTGTTTCACATCTGGGGCGCACTTAAGGAGTTAACAGGGAGTGAAAGGGTTCTGCTGCTAAAAGGAACACTGAAACCAGAGCTTCCAGGTACAAAATGAGCCCAGTGGGCTATGACTGCAAATGAATGGTGAGGATTGAGGCCATGAAACACGCCTCAAAGAAGGCTTTCCCAAACCTGCTTGCACAGCGGGGACCCTTGACGTGTAGCAGGGGCTCCCTACAAAGGGGTTCAGTGGGCAGGGAGCTTGGCAGACACTTCCCTTTGGTTAAAAGCTCCGTGAGAGCCTACATTAAAGACACTTTCTAGCTTTCGCTCAACACAGAACATAGGGCCCTCTGGAACTGGTGTCCCTGGCCACCACCATTGGAAAGGGAAGGGCTGTGAGTGCAGGGTAGGTTCTGGAAACCAGCAGACACTTCGCTAATCCCTGTCCCCACCCCAGATACAACCCTGGCTTTTGAAAATCAGGAGGCAAAGGCCAAAAAACCCCACGATTCAGAAGATGAAGTTCCAAACAACTGAGTACGGTTTCACTTCATGATTTGCCATCCAGACTCCAGTTCTTTGAGGGAAGCCCCGGGGCAGTGCTAAGGGCAGGCGCAATCAACGGATACCTGCAGATTAACTGTGAACACCGATGATGTCACCACAGGCCCCCCAAGCAACAGCCGTATTTCCTTTACTTGTTTTCAAAAAGGCACAAAATCCCTCCAAGACAAATTGTTAACTTGAAGCTGTAAACAGTTTCCTTTCAAATATTTTTGAATTTGTGTAAATGCGGTCTTACACTGTCATCCTAGGAACTAAGGACGACAATAGGATTTGGGAATATTTTCCATTCCAGAGCAGTCTAGGGAGAACCAGGGCTAACCGTAGGACTGGGCTGGGTGGACAGGTTATAAAGCAGCCCCAGGTGCCACCCTGTCAGCGTGAGAAGCCTGAGCTTCGCGTCTCTGGACGAGAAACTGTTTACAGTACCTGCACTTGTAATAACATCCTGCCAGAGAGCTGCCTTGCCCCAGCTTCCACCCAGAGATCTGGCATCAGCATGTACTGTGCGGAAAACATCTCTGATCAAGTTCTTCCCTGCATTAAGACCGCTGCCCCTCCCAAGAACAAACAAGGCGGCGGCCCAGAGAGCCCCGACCAGCTGCTTCCCTCGGGGAAACCATTCTGCCAAAATAAAAACCCGATTTGGAAGACAATTTACGTTTTCCCCAGAGGCGTCCTAGCGCGCAACGGTGCTGCCACTTTGAACGACTCACGATAAGGGCTTGGCATTGCCTAGAAACCTCCCAACGCTGGGGCCGAGAAGGAAGGAGCTGTCACCTCTGGAAGTCACTTTGGGGAGCTTCCTGGCAGACTTTACAGTGAACTTAGTCCTTGAAGAACAGGAAACTGCAAAAAGAATCTGGAGCCTAGGGAGTCATTGGTCAGGATGCACCCAGGCCCGCCGAGGGCTGCGGAAACTGAGAAGCAGAGCAGGACCCCGCCCCTGGGCACGCAGGGCCATCACAGCGCACCCTGCGTCCAGCGCGGGCGGGAGGCCGGGATCCTGAGGCCGCGCCGCGGAGTCGGGCGGTCCCTTCGGCGCCGGGGTCCCCATGGGGCACCCCCTGGGCCGGGCCCGCCCGGCGGGGAACGCGGCGCCGTCCGGGGGCCCCCACCCGCCGGGCGCCCGGGGCCGGGGCGGGGGCGTTACGGCTCACCGACCTGCCGCTCCTCGGCCTGCAGCTCGGACGCCTCGCGCACCCGCAGCAGCTCCTCCTCCAGCAGCGCCCGCAGCTGCTCCAGCTCGAGCGCCTCGCGCCTCAGCGCCTCCGCCTCCTGAGCGCACAGCCGCGTCTCCTCCTCGGCCTCGCGCCGGCTCTCCCGGCCGCGCCGCAGCGCCTCCTCCAACTCGCGCACCTCGTCCTCGTACCGCTGCACGGTCTCCCGCCAGGCCTCGGCCACCAGCAGCGCGCAGTCCTCGTGCAGCTCCCGCAGGCGCGGCGGGGGCGCGGCGGGGCCGACGCGCCGCAGCTCCTGGTCCGCCCGGCGGGCGGGAGTGGGTGCGGCCTCCAGCCAATCAGGGCGCGGCTCGAGTGGGCACCGTGGCCGCGCGGCGCCCCCTGCCGGCATGATCGTGGCCCCGCGCAGCCATCCTACCCGGGGACAGTCCGGGAACAGTCTGCGCGGGCTCGCAGAAGGAATGCCCGGGAGCTCGGGTCAGTGCAGCCTCTCAGTCGTGTCCGATTCTTTGCGACCCTGTGGACTGCAGCACGCCAGGCCTCCCTGTCCATCACCAACTCCCGGAGTTTACCCAAACTCGCGTCCATTGAGTCGGTGATGCCATCCAACCATCTCATCCTCTGTCGTCCCCTTCTCCTCCCCCCTTCAATTTTTCCCATCATCAGGGTCTTTTCAAAAAATCAGTTCTTCACATCAGGTGGACAGAGTATTGGAGTTTCAGCATCAGTCCTTGCAATGAACACTCAGGACTGATTTCCGCAGGGCTCCCGGTCATGGTCCTCCAGTCACCCAGGTGCACATCGCCACCTGGCCGTTGCTTGTCAGGCTGCACGGCTTCTGTGATACCAGCACCCAGACCACTCTGGAAGTCCCACCAGTATGAGCATCTCTGCTGGGCCACACTGGGGCACTGTGGAGCGGCTCTAAACCTGCAGCCATCGGTTCTCGTTTCTTCAACTCTCCACGTTATCAGGGCTTCTTCTACCCCACCTCTCGTGGCTTCGCAGGATAGGAGGGTCTTCTCAGGGACCGGGGGATCTCCAGCAGGATGCTTTGCTTTGATTCACCCGCTTTTCTTTGCTCCAATGCCCTTCGGGATCTTGGATTTTGAAACTACTTACTCTTTAAATCCTCTCCCTGAGAAACATCCACTACTATAGCTGCCTAGTTTGGGGAAAGTTATGGGAAATAGCAGGTGGAAAAAATGAAGTACCGCTGGCTAATCTTTCAAAATCATACCATCCTGCGTCGTAAGTAATCCTCACAAAACTGTAGCTTAGAGAAGCTGAGCGGCTTGCCTAAAGACACACAGTTTCTGCATTTGGGAATAGAAGTATTAGCAGTTGTGATCCCAGGGGCAGACTTGAGCAAGAAGGGTCCAGCCAGAAAAGAGAGGCACACTCAAAGAGAAGGGAGTGATGAGTGGGATGTAAGAAATGACTTTCAAAGGCGTGGATGTGATGGGGAAGCTCAGGAACCAGCAAGAGCAAGAAGCCATTAGCCCCCTAGAGGCAGAGGGAGGGAACTGTGGTGGCTGAGCCTAGAGGAGCAGGAGGAAAACCCAAACCTCTTCCTCCCCTCAGGTATCCTGCCAATGCCTGTCAGTGTGGAACCCAGAAGTCGTTGGGGCCTGGCAGTCGTATGTTGAGGCCAGATCCTAACAGCTTGTGAGAGCCAACTGTTAAATTATCAGGAATGTTGTGAGCCTGTTGTTAAAAGCTATTGTTAGGAAATAATTCCAGTAGTCATGTACAGATGTGAGAGCTGGACCGTAAAGATGGCTGAGTGCCAAAGAATTGATGCTTTTGAACTGTGGTGTTGGAGAAGACTCTTGAGAGTCCCTTGGACAGCACGGAGATCAAACCAGTCCATCCTAAAGGAAATCAGTCCTGAATATTCATTGGAAGGACTGATGGTGAAGCTGAAGCTCCAGTACTTTGGCTACCTGATGGGAAGAGCTGACTCACTGGAAAAGACCCTGATACTGGGAAGGATTGAAGTCAGGAAGAGAAGGGGATGACAGAGGATGAGATGGTTGGATGGCATCACCAATTCAATGGACACGAACTTGGACAAACTCCAAGAGATGGTGATGGACAGGGAAGCCTGGCATGCTACAGTCCATGGGATCACAAAGAGTCAGACACAAGTTGGTGACTGAACAAACAAGGAAATAATAGCCAGGTATTATTAAAAATTAAATTGTATATGTTTACCATTAATTATATGAAACTGAAATATTTGAAAATCACTTCCTAATTAACTTAGTGCATTTTACTATTATCTGTTCCTGAAGTTACTGATGTCTTGAAGTTATTGAAGTTATTCTGTCTGCAGGACAGAAATGCTATATGACCCATGCTACTGAGTGTCTCTACCCAATTCCACATTCACTGCCTTCATTTTGGTAGCTTGAGTATTCAGACTGCAGAAATCAGTAAATGGTTTGCTAATTGTCAACTTGATTTATTATCCTGTCGATTGTCTAGACTTAAAGAAGTGATGGAGAACATGCAAATAATGCAGATGAAATTTGTGTGTTGTGTCTGAAAGTACTGAATTTCGATAGCACAAAAATTTGAGGAAATATCTTTCCAGTGTTTCAAAACTATTATCCGAGTTAGCAAAGAAGTTGCTTCCAGTTAAGAATGACGTTTCTTGTTTATTTCACCTTTGTTTTTTTGTTGAGGTAAACAAAAATATCAACCAACATTCATGTCATGCTACACTTATCTATCAGTTACAATCGAAGATTGATGAGGGACACCAGAGTGCTCTAAAAATCAGTGAACACATTCTGCAGTAATCAATTTGTTATATGGAATTTATGATAAGGAGTATAGTATATGTCATTATTGTTTGTAATAAAAATGTAAAACTGCCCCAATGTAGCTGCCATATAAACAAATACACTTTTATATTAACAGTTTAAGGCTAATAAAAAGACCTGCAGTCCTCGTTTTATTTTTGACATCCTTCTGTTCAAAATAGTGGGAAATATAAGCTGTAGGAAAGAATATATACATGCATATATATTTTTTGTACCTAGCTATAAGTGTATGTGATTAATAAAATCATTTTTACCTTGAAGTTTTAAAATTGCCCGTAAACATTTTCTCTAAAATTGGCACAATACAGAAGAAATTGCTCCCCACTGCAGTAAAATGATGGTTTAGATTTTTCTTTTAACCACAGCCCCCTCTGACAGGCTAAACACCTCCAGAATTATCTATCTCGCCTGTTACTGATTTTCAGTGAAAATGGGACTCAGGGATATCAGAGAACTGGAGGGAAGAACGTTCCGTTTTAGCCTCGCTTACTGATTTCAGTAGACTAATAGATGCTTGTCACCAGCTGTACAAATGCACAGCGGTGGGATGCCCAGTTCTCAGTCCGCTGCCCTTGAGCCTTGAGTCTGGAGAAGTGGGAATTTTTTCGACTTCCCGGCAGGTGGCACTGCCTAAGGATGACGGGCACAGACTGGTCTCCAAGGCCACTCCTGGCAGGATGCCCTGCTCTGCCCTCCCCTGCCCTGCTCTGCCCACCTCTGCCCTCTGCCCTCCTCTGCACTCCTCTGCCCTCCTCTGCCCTCCTCTGCCCTCCTCTGCCCTCCTCTGCCCTCCTCTGCCCTCCTCTGCCTTGCTCTGACCTCCTCTGCACTGCTCTGCCCTCCTCTGCCCACTTCTGCCCTCCTCAGTCCTCCTCTGCCCTCTTCTGCCCTGCTCTGCCCTCCTCTGCTCTGCTCTGCACAACTCTGCCCTGCTCTGACCTGCTCTGCCCACCTCTGCCAAACTCTGCCCTCCTCTGCACTCCTCCGCCCTGCTCTGGCCACCTCTACACTGCTCTGCCCTGCTCTGCCCTGTTCTGCACACCTCTGCCCTGCTCTGCCTACCTCTGCTCAGCTCTTCCCACCTCTGCCCACCTCTGACCTCCTCTGCCCTCCTCTGCCCTGCTCTGCACAACTCTGCCCTCCTCTGCCCTGCTCTGCCCTCCTCTTCCCTCCTCTGCCCTGCTCTGCCCACCTCTACACTGCTCTGCCCTCCTCTGCCCTGCTCTGCCCTCCTCTGCCCTGATCTGCCCTCCTCTGCCCTTCGCTGCCCACCTCTGCCTTTCTTTGCCCACCTCTGTCCTGCTCTGCCGACCTCTGCACTTCTCTGCCCTTCTCTACCCACCTCAGACCTCCTCAGCCCTGCTCTGCCGAATCTGCCCACCTCTGCCCTCCTCTGTCCTCCTCTGCCCTCTTCTGCCCTCCTCTGTTCTGCTCTGCATACCTCTGCCCTGATTTGCCATTCTCTGCCCTCCTCTGCACTTCTCTGCCCTGCACTGCCCTCCTCTGCCCTGCTCTGCCCTCCTCTGCATTGCTCTACCCTACTCGGCCCTTCTCTGCCCTCCTCGGCCCACCTTAGACCTCCTCTGACCTGCTCTGCCCACCTCTGTCCTGCTTTGCCCTGCTCTGCACTCCTCTGCACTGCTCTGCCAACATCTACCCTGCTCTGCCCGCCTCTGCCCACTTGTGCCATGCTCTGCCAGCCCCTGCCCTTGTCTGCCCAGCTCTGCCAACCTGTGCCCGTTTCTGCCCACTTGTGCCCTGCTCTGCCAAACTCTGCCCACTTGTGCCCTGCTCTGCCCACCCCTGCCCTCTTCTGCCCACTTGTGCCCTGCTCTGCCCACCTTTGCCCTCCTCTATAATCTTCTGCACTCCTGTGCCTTGCACGGCCCACCTCTGCCCAGATCTGCCCTCCTCTGCTCTGCTCTGCCCACCTCTGTGCTGCCCTGCCCTCCTATTCCCTGCTCTGCCCTCCTCTGCCCTTCTCTGCCCACCTCTGCCCTGCTCTGCCCTCCTCTGTCCTCCTCGGGCCTGCTGTGTCCACTTTGCCCTGCTCTGCCCACCTCTGCACTGCTCTACCCGCCTTTGCCCTGTTTTGCCCTCCTCTGACCTCCTCTTCCCTGCTCTGCCCACCTCTGCCCTGCTCTGCCCTCCCCTACTCACCTATGCCCTCCTCCGCCTTCCGCTGCACTCCTCAGCCCACCTCTCCCAAATCTTCTGCACTCCTCTGCCTTGCACAGCCCATCTCTGCCCAGATCTGCCCTCCTCTGCTCTGCTCTGCCCACCTCTGTGCTGCCCTGCCCTCATTCCCTCCTCTGCTCTGCTCTGCCCCCCTCTGCCTGCCCTGCCCTCCTATTCGCTGCTCTGCCCTCCTCTGCCCTTCTCTGCCCACCTCTACCCGGCTCTGCCCTCCTCTGTCCTGCTCTGCCCACCTCTGCCCTGCTCTGCCCTCCTCTGTCCTCCTCGGGCCTGCGGTGTCCACTTTGCCCTGCTCTGCCCACCTCTGCACTGCTCTACCCGCCTTTGCCCTGTTTTGCCCTCCTCTGACCTCCTCTGCCCTGCT